TTATTGCTACCTAGGATTTAGATCTGCGCTTCCAGCATTTTACAACTTCAACTCGATTTTCATCGCCGATGGATGACCTCCATGACCTCCCGATCATCGAGCTGCCGAAACACTATCGTGTCGATGGTGAACGCCTTGGGCGGGCTCTTGCCCATGTGTCTGCACAAGCGAACAGTATCGCAGAGCATCAGGCCGAGCTCCAGCATCGACAGTCTCGGCACGAAGAAGAGCAGCAGCGATTCGTCGAGCAGCGCGTTGCGGCAGCCCGAGAAGAGGCAAATGCGCGGTGTAACGCGCTCGTTCTCGCTATTCAGCAGACTTACGGCGACCCGATGGCTCTGGAGCATCGTGTTGACGCTCGTATTCAGGACGTCTTACAGCAGCTCCAACAGGGAGCTCAGCAACAGGCTCGAGTATTTGCAGAGGCCCAGATAGCAGATCAAGTTGCGCTGAGCCAGTTGGTGGATCAGCGTATGCACGCTGCCGTGCTAGATATGGAGCAGGAGATGAACCTGAGGGTTGAGAAACTCCTTCTGGACCTGCGCCGCGATATCACTGAATACGTGAAAGACCAGCTCAAATTGGCCGTACAACGCGCTGACGATAACACACGAACGCTCATGAACAACGGGCTACAAGATGAGAGAAACATACAGCAAGCGTCCATCGCGCGCTCCGAGACTCGTATTGCTGAGCTGGTTCGAGGTATAATTCACCAACACGACAGTGCAATCAGAGTGCGCCAACATCAGGAGAGCGACGTCCGCAACGACCACATTGAGGAACGGCTTCGTCAAGTGGTAGCTGTTGCCAAAACGGCAGCTGAATCGAAGGCTCGCGAGGTGATGGCACAAAGGTCGAATGCACCCGGTCCAGCATCTACAAGTACAGCGACTGCAATATCAAGACAAGTGCCGCCAGCCGACAAAGTTAGCAGATCGATAACGCCTGCCAAGCCAAAACCAAAGCCTCTGCGCCGCTCAGAACGCGAGGATCGATCCAAGGCGGATCAAAATCGACATGATGAACGCAAGGCTCGGGCTAAAGTTGATCAAATTCGTCACGAAGCTCAAGAAGCAGTACGAACTCGCGCTGCCACCCGAGCAGCAGAATTGTTGGCACCAACACAAACAATTAAGAGCAAGCGTCTACTCCGTTCATAGTCAGATTCATGGGTATTAATGAACTTATACACAAACACCTCAGCTCGTTCTTGATCTGGCTAGCCTTCAGTTGCTTCCTCATTGTCAGAGAGCCCCAGATCCATACTTGCAGCCGAGAACATGTTCTCCAAAGAGCCAAACTCGTCATCCAGGTCCTGGATCATGTTCACCAACACATTCGAGGGCAGCCTCTCCCCTGCAGCGTTAGTAGAAAGCTTCGGGCACTGTGTGATATCCACGTAGTCTCTGTTGCAGTTTAAAAATGTGGCCATATCCACGTTGTACGGCGACAGTGAGCTGCGTTGTGGGGTCACCATTCTTCCGGCTGTCCCGAAATCGCGCTCTATTTGAGCCGACGAGGAGGGCATTGAGAATAGGACGCGTGCAACAAGAGACAGAAGCCGGAAGTTGCCTTGATCATGTTGACGCTTCCAGAAGCTCAGGACGGGCTCAAACTCACCGGGACGCATTACGTTCAGCGAAGTAGGGGTCGAAAGCCAACGGTCAAGCTCTTCGTCAATGCGCTGCTCGTGCATTGCCGTATGTGTGTCGACAGGCGGTGGTACCACCTCGTTCGCCGTTTCTGCAAATAACTCCATGAGGTCCTCTGAAAACACTGCTACCGGAGGCGGAGCTACGATTCCGGGAGATGTTGGCTGAGTGTCCACTGCCTCCATAATTCTGCGGACACCGTCGATGATCTTACGGCGAACCTTGATGAAGTGGCGATCTGCCACCTGTTGTGATGCCCCGGCTTGTAAGTTAGACACTAGAATCACCTTCTTTAGCGCTCCGTCTGGGTTCTTGAAGTTAGGGTGAAGAAGTAGCTGCATCTCGAAGGCGTAGGAGCATGAATTCATTATCTCGCGGTCAGTGTATCGCCGGAAAAAGACACGATGAAAAGCTTTATGGAGAAGTTCCCGAGTTGTTGTCGCCAGATTGGACAGCTCTTCCGGCCGAAAGAAGCGTCTCTCTGTCTTGGTCGATCGGCAGTCTTTTAAGGGAGTAGTGACGTCTAACAACGAGATTCGGAGCTTGTACAGACCGAGGAGAACGTCGCACTGGTTTCCTGATTCGGATTGCCCGATGTGGTTAATCACTGAAACCGGCTCAAGCAGAGAAAGAATTTGTAACTTTGCCATCTTCTCACGAGCCAAAGGGAAGGGAGACGGTGGTGCCACATTCTCTCGCTGGGCTTTGACAGTTCGTTCTTCATACCATGCGGCCAGTGGGTCCCAGAGTAGGAGTATACGTCGTACAACGCGAGCAAGCCCCAAAAACCGATGAATCTTGAAGTTGAGAAGTTGGCGCGCGTTCACATTATCGTCGGTCATAACACTGCAAAGCTCCGAGAAGAGAGTGCCCATCACTTCCACATGCTGTGTCTGGTACACAGTTTTGACGATGCGTCGAAGCATTTCCGTCATCGCTGGGTTCTTCGACGAGCCGCTCTCCGCAACGATGCCAAATGCGGTCTTGGTCGCCGCATGTGTAAAGTGCGGTACGCACCATTCCCAGCACAATTTGAGCCCTGATCTCATCATCCATTTGACGTCGGGTCCACCGTCGCTGGTAGACCCGAAGAGGTCGTGACGACTAAGTCCAAAGTCCTCTAACACATCCCCAATCCAGCGATAGAATGGACCTCGGATTCCGCCATCACGTTCGCCATACTGCGGGGCAAAATGTCGGGTCCCTAGTAACACGGATTTGAACCGCTACGACGAGTCCACTAGATAAAGTCTCAATCCCAAAAACTTGGTATTCATCGCGGACGCCGTCCAGAAGTCTGCAACGATGGAGAAGCTTTTTGCTGAGCCGATTCTGTTTTCTGTCAGCATCGCTTGGATTTGATTTTTTGTCGCATCGTAGAGCTCCACGATAGAATGGCGGATGACCTTGGCGTTTAATGCTACACGAGCCTCCTCCTTGAACATTAAGTCGCGGATTATCAGCGACTCTTCGTACTCTCCAATTCTGAACGGAAGGTTGTTGTTCACGATGCGCAGTGTCTCCAACAAGACGTACGCGCGGCCAGGATCATCGCGAAAAAGTGGACTCCTCTTCAAAACAGCAAGATCTTCGTCGCGAGTTCTTTTCCTGCCCTACTCGCTGGCGGTCTTGTCGGAGCCAACGTCGTGTGCCTTGCTTAGATGAAGCGTCACTTTTGACGTCTTCCCGCCTGACATCACGATCTTTACACGCTGGGTGCGGCAAGTCTCGGCCGCCATGCACATCCACACAGCAGGTGCGTTGGTGTCGGCCGTGCTGACGACGCGGACACCCCAGTCGTAGACGAATGACGTCTCACTCGTCTTGGCGCGTAAGATCTTCGTTCCAGCTTCGGGGACAAAGGCCTGGATGGCCTCCCGTACAGCGATCGGCATACTGGCTTCGTCGCGACGCCTTCTTCGCTCTGGGTCCATGAGTATCTGCTGAAGATCGCGGTGTGATAGCAGGAAGTAAATAGCTTTTTAAAGCTCCAGTCAGCGCAAAAAAATACCAAAACGCACCGTAATTTAGCCAATGAAGTACGCCAAACTGGAGAACCCTCACCCTCTCCCATACCATAAAATCTCCGACCTCCGACAACCTCCGACCTGTACATAAATGGCGGCACATCTAAGTCAGTAACTCTTAAAGCAAATATATTAAGTTTTTTTTTAACTGTGGGCCACATTGAAAATGTATTCACAAATAAAAAGGAGTGGGCGGTAGGTGGCAGGGTGGTGGCAGGGCGGCGGCAGGGCGGTGGCAGTGCGGCAGGGCGGTGGCAGTGCGGCAGGGCGGTGGCAGAGCGGCAGGGCGGTGGCGGTGGCAGTACGGCAGAGCGGTGGCAGGGCGGTGGCGGTGGCAGTACGGCAGGGTGGTGGCAGGGCGGTGGCAGTGCGGCAGCCCAGGGCGGTGGCGGTGGCAGTACGGCAGGGTGGTGGCAGGGCGGCGGCAGAGCGGCAGGGCGGTGGCAGTGCGGCAGTGTCGTGGCGGTGGCAGTACGGCAGGGTGGTGGCAGGGCGGTGGCAGAGCGGCAGGGCGGTGGCAGGGCGGCGGCAGAGCGGCAGGGTGGTGGCAGGGCGGCGGCAGAGCGGCAGGGGGCAGCGAGTCGATGTGCTCAAGAATTAATAAGGCAATACATGTACATTTAATTGACGCTTGCTACATAATGCTCTACGCAATATAAAAATAATGGATCTCCACGCAGGGATGTTGCATGTGTTGTTCCTAATGACGAGCAAGCTCTTGCTACCCACCTCTTCTAAAATTTACTACTACATAATGGCATATTAATAATAAGTAAGATTTAAAACTAATGTGTGGTAATGATTGCACTGGTCGGAGAAGTGGGAGAAATGACTTTATGCATATGATATGCCTACATATTGAAATTTGTAAGAGCATATCCATATTTCCTGAGTCCCCTCCGACCCGATATGTCGGAGCCAACTCCAACGAGGTTCAACCTAACCCTTACCATTTGGATTGGCCAAATCATCTTGTCAAGACCGTACGATTGGCTATCTACTAAATAAAAATGGATGATTGGTGATTAATACCAATACCAAAATTAAGTAGGGTCGGAGAATTGATGATATTCATCCATATCGGCTCCCTTTACTTACGGGAGGAACTTTCGAACGGGTTCATTTCCGACGTTAAATACGGGGAAGAATGAAATTTTTCAGATTACCGGCTCCGAACCGAAGTTGGAACGGTTACTGAATCTTTTTCGACTCGCACCCATTTGGTTCGTCCCAGGGGTGCAAAAGCTGCTTAAACGGGTGTATCATTGGATAAAAAGTCATATTTGCGTTTTGGCCACCTGTATCGGTTGACGCAGTCATGAGCGGGGTGGCCACCATGTCCGAGGACGAGCACACGCTGGAAGATATTTCGTGGGATGAAATCGACAAGCTAAAGTACTATATAGTAGGGCCGACCATGTTCCTGGCCGTGAGGGCTGCCGTGTACCCATCCAACCTGGTGAAGACGCGACTGCAGGTCCAGTCCAAACACAAGCCACTCTACTCGGGCACGGCAAACGCCTTCGCCACCATCTTCCGGCAGGAGGGTGCTCGTGGTCTTTACAAGGGTTTCGGAGCCAGCACAGCTAACGTACTCACTGGCAATCTGTACATATCGGTTTACGAAAAGTCGCGCAAGGTCGTCAAGGATCACACGACGGTGGGGTAGCTGGCATTAAACACTGGATAGAATGCTACAGGTAGAGCTAATGCAGTTGTTACAGGTGGGCGACAAAGGAGCCAACTTTGTCGGTGGAGCCATAGCGTCGCTCGTCTCGCAGACGGTCGTGGTGCCACTGGATATTGTGTCACAGCGGATGATGCTGAGCGGCCAAGGGCAGGACGTGCGCAAGACAAGAGAACACTCCAAGGGCTTCCTCACTGTGACCAAACAGGTGCTCCGCACTGACGGCATCCGCGGCTTCTACAGGGGATACGTGCCGTCCATCGCGACGTACGCGCCGTCATCCTCGATCTGGTGGGGGTCTTACGGCCTGCTCGTACCCGTGTATTTTAACTTGATGAAGTCGTGGCCCACAGATCCGTTCTGGAAAACAAGGTGCGTGCTGTACTGCAGTGGCGGTAAAGTGGAGAGAACTATGTTCTCATGTGCTGTACTTGCTGTAGTGGTGGCGCAGGGACTGAGTGGTGCAAGTGCCGGTATCATCACTGGCATTTTGACGAATCCCATGGACGTTGTGAGGACGAAGGCGCAGGTTTATACGCAATATGGCGCCATGGACACCCTCAAGTATATTTTAAAGAACGAAGGACCGATGGGCCTCATGACAGGTCTCTCAGCGGTGCGTAACAGCAGCGTTGGTGTGTGAAATAAGTTGCTAATCTTATTGTATTCTCGCTGCCATTGCTGTCGTTTGTTACAGCGGCTATTGGCCATGGGTCCGTCGGGCATCCTCATGGTTACATCGTACGAGTTTGTCAAGCGCGTGAGTCGGAAGTCGCAGCCAACCGACACCGACGCGTTGCTCTAGTTTTTTTTTTTCGGCATCCTCAAGACAGAAAACATTAGAAGACGGCATAATTTCATTGACCATGTATAATACGTCTTCAGCGGTACGTCTTAGCAGCGCAATGGCAGCATAAAGACGCTTTCAACTTTTCCACAGTTACACGCAGGCAGATATTACAGTGTGTGGTCTTAGCATAATGCAAATAGGAGAGTTGACTGAGGAGCTGAATTTTCTACGAGTTTAGCGAAGAAACCCATGTGGCTGGCGAAAATCGGCTTTAAGCTGGAGTCCAGCTTATTTTCAGCCTGGACGTGAGTGTAAGTATCCGCAAAACTTCACACAAATCGGCTTTGTTAAACAATTGGTACTTTGGGGCCTGTGCGTGCAAGACGTTGTCAATACATAAAACACTGCTTTAGCTTCTTCTCCATTTCAAATTTTTACGGACATGGAAGCGCGAATCAAATCAATTGGTAGTCCGACCAAGTTTATAAACAAAATGTGGCATAGGTGCCTCTTATTAAACGAAGGGGGCGGTACAACGTATCGTTGCAGAGTCCTGGCAAACCACTAGCCTCCTTAGCACGCGATAGGGGTGGTGGGGGTGGCAGCGGGAGTGACAGCAGGAGTGGCAGCCGGGGTAGTCGACTGCTGCTCATGGGAGGGGGTCGATTCAGTGGCCGGGGCCTCCGTCTTTGGCGCATCCGTGGAGGCAGCGGGGGCAGCAGTCCTGGCAGCGGGGGCCTCCGTGACCGGAGTAGAGGGCGAGCATCCGGGCTCGAAGTTGTCGGCCAGGCTCTTTACGTTCATGATAGCACCGCTCGTGGGGATGTTGAGGTCGCAGTCAGGTGGGTTGGTAGCCTGGACATTCTTGATGAGCTCATGGCAAGCGTCCACCTTGCACATGGCGGCGGTCTGCTCAGCCGTCGGCAGCGCCGTGGCGTACAGCATGTTGTAGCCCGAGTCCGAGGCGCACGTGCTGAGAGACGTTCCCTGCAGCAAACCAACCATGGAAGTGTAGGCGGAGGCCTGCTGAGTGGTTGAGCAGGCCTCACCGTTGACGGAAGCGATGACGGCCAGAGCGGCGGCGGCGACAGCGATGTACGTGTTCATCTTTTGCGGTGGAGGATAGAGTATAGAGTGAATTGCAAAAGGTAAATTGCAGAATGAGCTGATGACTACGTTGTGCCGCGCCCCGTGCGAACAGCGAGCAGAACTTTCGAGCTGCCACTCTGGGCAAGAAAAGGGGGAAAGCTTCAGTGTCCAGACACTGTCTGGCAGACACTGAAGCACTGAAGACACTGTGTGCGGCGGATTCTGCCAGTGCAGTGCAGTGATTCACCGTGCCACGGTACCACGGTCCGTGGTACCGTGCGGTGAAAACTGTATCCGAGATCAGGCAGAGTGTATCCTCTTTCCTTGTCACAAAGCAGATCCTGCGCGCGTCTGTGGGTGAGTAATGTCAATCGATGCCACTGGCAGTACATGTACCGTACTCAGTTCATGCAGTACTGTACATTGTACTGCCTGTCACGGTCACTGACACCATGAAACTCGGTTCCCCAAATCGGGATCCGAAAGCTCCTGGACTCCAGCTACAGAACATGTATTAATACAGTACTACTAGTAGTATAACGCACTCCATGTTTTATCCGCAATGAAATACTAGAATCTGTAGAACATTCGTTCTACATGTACAGTACTACTATTAAAAAACATTTTTTTTAATTGAATATCTATAAGTATTACTTCCAGAAATAAGTAGTACTAGTGTAGTACTACATACCGTTAGAAGATATACTACCGTTCAAATTGAACCTATAACAGTAGAGTGATATTCTTAAACGCTTTTAACCAGTTTTTAATCGATAATTCGCATAGCACTTAACAAGCCGCGGCGGAAGTCTGAGTCACGGACTCCGTCGAGTTCGTCGAGTTCGTCGTGGTGGTGGCGGGAGTGGCAACGGGAGTGGCGGCAGGGGCATCGGTGGCTGTCGAAGCAGTGGTGGTATCCGTAGTGGGGGCAGCAGTCGTCGCAGCAGGGGCCTCCGTCGTCGTCGAAGTGGCGGCGCTCGAGGCCGTGTTGGACGTCGACGACGACGAGGAGCACTTCTCTGAGAAACCGCTCGTCAGGTCTACCACGTTCAGCACGAGGCCGCTCGTGGGCACAGTCAGATCGCAGTTAGGCGGGTTCAGGCTGGCCACCGACTCGATCAGCGACTTGCAGTTGTCCGAAGCGCACATCTTCACGTACTGGTCGTCGTCTGGCAGCGCCGTCGAGTACAGCAAGCTGAAGCCCGAGTCATCAGCGCAACCCTGGAACGAGCTCAGGGTCAGCACGCTGGCCAGTGTCGAGTACGCGGTCGTCTGGTCCGTGGGCGAGCACGTCTCAGCAGCGGCGAAGCCGACGAAAGCGGCGGCGGCAATGGCGAGGAAAGTCTTCGTGTTCATGGTACCTGGTTGGCGGGTGTATAGCTGGCTGGGTGTACCTTTGACACAGCAAATTGTAGAATGAGAGTTGTAGCGATGCAGTCGGCAGGGGCGCGAAGCGCTTTGTTACGAAGAAGTGTACATTCGGTACTTACCACTTAGGTATATTCAATATACTGTACTTATGAATGTACAGTTTATTAAATGTATTAAATACATGCACGAATGGTTTAAGGTACTGTAGAAAAACATACCGGTACAGTAAACCTATATTTGTGTTTAAAAACCGGTGCGCTTTCTGATACCGATTTGTACTGTACGCGACAGGATTCATGTACAGTAATACATGTACATGTACTGTACACGTATTAAGACAGTACTGTACCGTAGTAATCAGTACAGTACGGTACAGTACTGCACCCGGGGGTGAACAATATAGGATTTGCAAGTAAATCATACTTCAGTTGACAAGCTTAACTTCATTTGGATTTAGGATTATCACATCCGGAAGTTTATCAAAGGTCCAAGGGCGCGAAAACGGGGTGCAGTACTGTACTGCTTTTAATATTAATACATGTACTGTACACAGGACTCCTGTCTGTGAGTCAGAACCGTTGCGTTCAGATTCTCAGAATTTGAGCTTCAGAATCGAGCTTACATGTACCGGTACATGTATTAATAGTACACTGTACTGTGCACGACAGAGCGAGGCCGACGATTCTATTTGGTCATTATTAATTACGACGACTAGATGTCTGTGCCTGGTTATCAACGTCGGCTCCTTTGGATGCCGGGGTCGCACGAAGCTTGTCCTGTATGGGGACATCTCTTGGGGATTGCTCTCAACTCTTGTAAGCTAAGTAGAAGACGCATCCCGTTTTCTTTTCGTTCTGGGCACCTCCTTTCACGTGTGATGACTGCTTGTACATGTATTTGCCTTTGTCCTGTAGCCCAGAAGTTCATTAAGCAATTCATGCAGACTTCCTAGTATGAAGTGTACATGATGCACATACCGGTACTGTAGTATTATCTTTGAAGGACAAAGCTGGTGTTGCACATCTGTAACTTTCCCACTTCTTACACTGTCAGAAGTGGGATGATCCCTTTAATAGATCCCAGTGGGATCTATTAAAGGGTCCAAGGTTTTAGGCGAGGAAATATAACTTTCACAATCAAAAATCTGATAAACACACTAACCCATCTACCACAATACGCACGGCTGCGATGCCTTGCTGCCCGGCTGTGCACAGCTGATCAAGTGTGATGCGGAGGAGCAAGCAAACGCTCCTGTCCCATTCCCTACGGCATCTTGGGGTGGTGCACTCCATTATCTCTCAATCTACGTTTTCTCTCGGACCTTCCAAGCACCGCTGTTAGTGTGTCCAGTGCATCCAGCACTCAAGCCAGCTCCATGACGGGCCTCAGCGCTTCAGAGCTGCCTCCGGAGCCTCTTCACGCTGGGGAAGAAGCTGAGTATTTCTCCCGCCTTTACGTATGCGGTGACAGCAGAGGCTATCGCCGTGCCATCGTCACCCGTGTTAATGGAGGCGAGGACGTCGAATTTCCGATAGCGGTGAACACAGAGGAGGTTATTCCACTCGACATGATGATGAGGCGGGTCGTTGACCGCTTCGGAACCCCCTTCACCCCTGGTGTCGCTAAGTGGCGCAAGCTGCGATCATTCGAGCTGGTGGAGGGAGATTTTGCGGCCACAACGCGGTCCAGCGCCCTAAATGAAGCGCTTGCAGGAGCAGTGACAGCTGCATTTGACGCCATTGGTAGCGGCCGTTGCGGTACACGTGAGGAAATTGTCCCGGAGACACCGCAGAGCAGTGCATGCAGCTCTCCAGGTGTGGAGCAAAATTTGAATCATGAGCTCCAGCCCAGCACCCCACCCAGCGACCGTACCCAAACGCAGAGCGCTGAAGAAGCTTCGACCCCTTCCAGAGTTTGCTGTGCACGCGAGGGAATCCGCTCAAGCTCTTCTATTGCGCAGATTATCGACTTAGTCTCACCTGGAGGAGAGAGCGAGGCTTTCTCCAGCACTGAATCCAGTCGGCCAAGCGACGCCGAGGCCGCAGCTTACGTCCGCTCCATTCCAAACCGCCATTCTCGTGCCAAAATCCGGCACCAAGCCAAGAAGAAGAGGGCGCAATGGCATGTGCCGAGGTCTAGGAAGCGACGACACTTGGCTCTGTGTGCCATAACCAAGAGTGGCAACGAAATTTACCACGCGAAAACATTCAAAGCAGCAATCTTCAAGAATCTACAGAATAGTCCGGAGGTGAAAGCGGAGCTAGATAATCTGCACATGAGACGCTCTACGTACCCGGACCCTGCGCTGAAGGAAAAGCACACTCTACTCCGCTCCGTCCCGTGGCCCGCAGAAACCACACGAATTACCACCTGCATACGAAATGGCGTCAAGTTTCCGGACATTGGCCGCGTAGACCCCTGCCAGTGCATCGGGAACTGCTTCTGGGACTCTTGCTCTAATGTGGCGTCCGCGTCCTTCTGCACTCCCAAATATTGCAACCTCGAAGGGAGGTGCAGCAACGCGCCGCGGACGCTGGACACTCTACAGTTGTTTGAGACTGGTCGGGTTGGCCTTGGAGTCTACACAACCACGGATCTGGACATCGGCGACGTCTTGGGTGAGTACTGCGGGGAGCTGTCTGAGTTTCCAGCTGAAGTAGAGGGGCAACCGCCAGAAGCAGTGAAACAAAACAGCGGGTATACACTGCTATACAATGCCAAGTCCGTCGCCAGAAACTACGTTTACGTGGACGCCCTGAAGTGTGACTCGATAACGCGATTCATCTCTCATTCATGCACTCCCAACGCAGCCTTCATCGAGCGGCAAACGCGCTCTAGGGTGCGCGTACTCGTGAAGATGATAAAGAATGTTATTGCAGGTGCCGAAGTGACCGTTCACTATGGAAACGAGCGATGGTTCAAGTGCGCGTGCGACCGATGCTGGAGCAACCGCGTGGAAGAGGTAATCGACTGCGAGGAAGAGTAGGGAGTGTAATTCAGGAACTTGCTCGCGTCAAATGCATTGAACGTGGCTAAATGAAAGATTTGCACTTTTGGATTGATCTAAGTTTGCTGTTTGTGTGGGCTGCAGATTTTTTTTATCGACAACAATGATTAAAGTGAATTTCCTCGTACGTATTGAATAGAACCAATGCATGCAGACAGGATCCTCTACTACCTGCGCCATTCCAGTCATGTAGAATATGCCAGATCACACCAAGCTCAGTGCCGGCCCAATAGTACGCGGACGTCCCAGGTCTGGAAGCATAGCAGCTTCACCGCGTTTTCTTTTGCGTCGGCTAATTAACACCTCCCTCCCGCTGCTATCGACGTGAACAGTGACGCGAAGGGCGAAGAGGATATGAATACACGACCCAAAAGCAAACCAGTAATCACACGGATACCGCTGCCGAAGGACGTCAACGGCCCAACCGTCTGCCGGCTCTCCTTCGTATTCCTTTCTGGCGTAGTTCACCCCCATCTGCGCTGTCACCGCAATGGCCTCTTCGCTGCGTCTATTCGGCGCAACCTGAACGCGGTGTGCAGGCATAGAGATCACCCGGAGAATGCAGCAGGCCCCTGCGCGCACAGCATCCACATCTTGGTCCTCTGCTAGGCCCAACAACTTCTCGCGGACCATCTCCGACACCCTGCGCGCGAGCGTAGGAGCTGGACACACGACGAACTCAAACGATCGAGCACTACTGGATTGATCTTGGCAGCACGCGCTGAGCTCCCTCAAAAGAGTACCCATTTTGAGCCGCCGTCGCAGCGTGTAGTCGCGCTTTAGCAAAGCGTTGAACGTCTCCGCAGGATTATTCGTTGAGGCGAATCCAATGGGAGTGGCGAACACCTGCCACGCCGTGAAGTGTCCAGTCAGCCATTGCGCATGAAAATACTGTGCAAATGGTACCAAACTGGGCTCCTTCATCCAGCCATGCAAAATTGGACGCAGCATCTCCAAATACGCGCCGTGGCTACGAGCGAAGTGCAGATCATATAACTCTCGTAACACTCGTGCTTGTGCACCCGAGGAAAGTAGCTTAACACGATCCTGGATGTGCTTCATGACGTGAAAGAAGCACATCAGGAAGCGGTACTTCGGATTGTCACCAAATATTGCAGCGAGTGCGTTGCATTGAGCTCTGTCGCCGTCAGCCATTGCGTAGTCCAGCAGTGAGGTGCCTGTCTGAGATCCAGAAGTATACACGGCGAAGCGAAAGCAGGGCGGCCTGGAACATCGGCTGCGTCTCTTGGGACATCACGAATAGGGCGACCAGGTGGAACCTCCGCGATCGGTCCGAGACCCCTACTACCAAGACAGGATAGTCGCACTGGTTTGTCTTGTACGTCCCATCTAGGTGTAGGATGAAGCTATCGGGCGGCACTGTCAGCCTCAACATCAGCGCCTTCGTCGATATACCTACCAAGAATGGTCTCTTGTCGGAGCCGTTACCAACTATGGGCTTGCCCATGTTGTCTATATCCCAGGCAAACGTGAAAGGCTGGGTCATGGATTCGGATCCACTGTGAGCGTGCTCGCGAACCCACGCCGTAAGATCCAAGACACGGTCGTGATTCTCTAGCTGCGTCCGGCCGTAATGAGTGACAAAATTTTGCACCGTTTTGAGCGCAGGCAACTCCTCCAGGGGCGTGGCGAACTTGCGCGACAGCGCATGCCGAATACGCATCGGCCGCATGTGGTTTTCTGCCAGGTCGCGACAGAATGCCTTCTGCGCCAGAGTCAGCTTCCTGCGCCCTGGGGACGCGGCAGGTGAGCTGTGCTCCCCAATCTCGAAGATGGACGCGTGTTCCGAGTCCAAGCACGTGACCATCTTCCCTCGCCATGTGCACTTCACTGGACTCGCCTCACGGCAGGATTCAGAGCTACACACGAGCAGCCGGTAGCGCATTTTGTGCTCCGCGCCTGGACATATTGTGCATGCCATCGCTTGACTCTTGTTAATATCGAAGGACTTGAACGA